AGCCGTCAGAATTGATGTCTGAAAGCCAACAAAGATACTCTACGGATTTACTTTGCCAAGTGGCAAACGGCCTTGCCGTTTTGTTACATTTGATTAACCTTTGTTGTTATTATTTATTTTATTTTATATTCAGTTGTTACAGACGGGACAGACATGGCTGGGGGATAGGAAAAGGAGAAAGAAAGATGAAGTAACAGAAAAACAGAGGGGAAGGGAGACAGTGAGAAAGGACACATAAAAAGAAATCCCCTGGATCACCTGTTGAGAAAAAAAAAAGAACAACAAAGTGAGAACAAGCAAAAAAGGAGAGCAACATAATAAACACAGCACCATCACATTAATGTAGCTAACAGTAAATGACAGTAAATACTAAATACTGAATGTTGTTGTGCAGCATGCAGGACCGACAGTGCATTGAGGTAGCAGCCAAGAAATGGCCTGTAAATGGCCTGTATTTATATAGCGCTTTACTAGTCCCTAAGGACCCCAAAGCGCTTTACATATTCAGTCATCCACACATTCACACACTGGTGATGGCAAGCTACATTGTAGCCACAGCCACCCTGGGGCGCACTGACAGAGGTGTAAACTGTGTCCCAAAACGTAGGCTGCATCCTTCGGAGGGCGCATTTGAAGGTCAATTACGTCACAGCCACGCGACGAAGGCTGTCCCAATTCGTCGACTCTTTAAAATGCGGCCAACAAATGCATTCTTCCTTTCTCCGAATTTGAAGGCTGGGCCAGGTGTGTCCTTCGTGGCACACCATATCCCAGAATTTATAGCGCAGGAAACTAGCAATTCCAGTTTCCAAGAACGGCGGCTGCTGCCAAGTTTTAATATCACTCTTATTAATCTTTCTGGGTCACAAAATAAACTTTTAATATATTTTCAAGCGAGAAAGTAGCTGTGTAAACTTCAAATATCTGCTTGATTTATCAAGACATCACATATTTGCAAAAGTGCTCCGACGTTTTTGGAGATGTCATTTACCCACCCGCTCGCTCGATAGCCAGCCGGGGTGTTCAATGGTCACTCGAGCTAGCGAGAGCAGCGGACTCC